GTGTTCCATGAGAGGACTAAACACATTGAGATCGACTGTCACTTTGTCAGAGAAAAAATACTTTCAGGAGATATTGTTACAAAGTTTGTAAAGTTGAATGATCAACTAGCAGATATTTTCACTAAGTCTCTTACTGGTTCTCGTATTAGCTACATGTGTAACAAGCTCGGTACATATGATGTGTATGCACCGGCTTGAGGGGGAGTGTTAGTTTACAGATATGTATAGTGTAGTCTTGTCCCACATTAGATGAGGAGTAATATCTCCTTGTAGTGTATAGCTATAAATAGGGACTTCTTGTATTGTATTTATTATCTAATATCAATAATATATTTTCTCCCGTGCTTTCTCACAAAACATTCTCCTCGTAAAAGCAACCACATGAACAAGCTGCAAATGTCATAGCTTACCATAATGACTGCTAGGATAGCCACAACAAAAGCTACAGCACCAGGCAAGATGGTATTTGGAACATATGGGATGAAAGTTGACCACATGACCTACAATGCACGGTGCAGAACGCCAGAACAAATATAAGAATCTAAACTCCAAATTCTTCATTTTGATGAGTAGAAAATGAAAGAAAAGAGAGGGTGATTACTTGGGGAAGTGCAGATAGCCCAGCAACAGTAATGAAATCCTCCCAGTAACGCCAGATTACGGGATTGAGCAAGTAGAAGTAGTTCATGAAGTTCACAACAAGACCACATGCAATAACAACAGAAGTGACTGCATAATGAGGTAATGGCATAGATCCAGCCATGGCTAGTTGTGATATCACAATATAAATGGTCACGACCCCCAACGTTTGCACAACGACCACCTCTGTCTCCCTCTTCTTTATGAAGTATGATAGCAAAGACAAATTACCAAGCAATCCAGTGAACATCCCCTGTATTTTGTTCAGCTCAGTATTTATCTCTCAACATTAATAAGACCACAGTTATAAGCCGCTATAATAGGAGTAGAATGCCATACCAGCCATGGAACAGCAAATAATGCAGCATTATTTCCTGCTAGAAGGTTACGAGCATTGAGTATTATCTGAGGCAGTTGTAATATGAGAAATGGAATATTTGCAGCTCCTGCAAATTTTGCAGTCAATGAATCCCACTGCTTAAAGCTCTCGCTGCTCTTCAAATCTTCTGATCTCTACATATAAAATCTCAGTTATGCCAGATTTCATTACCTCCAACTGAATCCATAGCTTACTTTAAAAAACGATCCCACATCGCAATAAACATTATTGGAAGCATACAAAAGGGGAAAAGAACCTGATCAATAGGACTTGGAACATCTGAGTCAAGCGCAGAAACCGGTCTCAACCGGTATTGACAAACTAATGGGCTTAAGAGCACTGACTTGTTCAAATTATTGTTCTGTTTAGCTCTTTTCTTGTATGGAAGGAGATTTGGGATTGATTTCGGCTGCTGGAGATTGACATTGAAGATATAACCATTGGAAGGTTGGCGGGAACATAGGACTGCCTTACCCACTGGCAACAAAGATCCAGCCATTCAAGATATCAAAAAATGAAGCAACTATATGTTTGTACTCATCACCAGTTGTGTGGAGATATTTTTATCAGAAAATGGTCAATCTTAATTGCTACAAAGGTAACTCCCCAAGAGGCAGCTGATCAAACTTCTAATGGTTCTGTATTAAAATGAGAAGACAATTTCTGGTAAGCTCCTGCACAAACCCCAGCCTTTACCAAATCTGCATCAAAAGCAGGATGCATGAATTACCCGAAAAAAGACAGTAAACTAACTAGCACGACATACTTCAATCTTTTCAGCTATGATAAGCAAGAGGGAAATCAGAGGCACCACAACATAACAAACTTCTATTTCCATCAATCCAACTCACTGTGAGTTGGATCAATATCCTGAACCTTGCCTATAAATTGACTTAAAAAATCCACGACTCGAGCAAGTTAAACGTCCTTATAGTATATCACAGCATACCTAGTCTGTAGCACAAAAAGAACGAGATGCGACTGGGGGAAGGGAAAGGGGAAGGGAAGGGATGTGGTGTCATCTCAGAACTTGGAAGAAAAATTGTAACCATTATAAGCCAACTCTAACTCAATAGTGGAGACAAAGCTAACTCTAACTCAATAATGGAGACAAACTCATCTTCCATAACCTCACACACAACTCACATATAAGAAAATAAGGCTTATGGAAATCAAACCTGAGAACAAGCACTAGAAAGTACTCCCTCCATTCTACTTTATATGGCATTGTTACTATATGGGGAATAAAACAATTCTTTTTTCAAAAAAAAACATTTTCATATATTTTTCGAATACTCTTAATTATAAAAAGGTGTAGCTTATAGTACTTTTTTCTAGATCTTAATTATGTAAATTTTATTTTAAAAGATTAAAAAAGTTAACATCCAAATTGAGACAGAAAACCAGATGGATTAACCCTCATTCTTTGAACCCCCTCCATTCTTTTCGAACAGAGGGAGTACCTAAATACCACAACAATAATATCACACCTCAATCTCTGAACCCCCTCCATTCTTTTCGAACAGAGGGAGTACCTAAATATCACAACAACAATATCACACCTCAATCTCTGAACCCCCTCCATTCTTTTCGAACAGAGGGAGTACCTAAATATCACAACAACAATATCACACCTCAATCTCAAGTAAGTTGGAATCGGCTATATGAATTTTCATTGATCATGTTGCTCCATTTAAGCTCGGAATAAGTAAATGAAATATCTTTATGTTGTAAGCATCAAACGGAAGAATACAAAGCTATGAATTACCATCCACCATAAGTGACACAGCTCCATTGTCAAGGGCCAAACTTAACACCTAAACCATCCCTAATAATAGGCATCTTCTAGAATTCTACTGCAACACACTGTAGAGCAAATTTCTTGAAGGATGAAAATCTTTGAATGTTACTTTGGTCTCAACCCATCCAAGCCAGAAGCCTAATTAGGCATATTTGCAGCATGTTTCTGTGAACTCAATTTCTAACTACCAGAGCTCTACTCAAAAGCTCCTTTATGTTTAGTACTTTAAAATGTCGGATCATAGTATAGCTAACCTTCACATTTCTTTATTTATTATTCATTTGCAGGAAGAAAAAAAACCATAGAAACAACACACCAACTAACATTGCATACCGAAAATATAAGATCATTTCATACTTACCCGAGTGCCAATTTTCTCGAAAATACCCGTTAATAGTTTAACATCAGCCACGTATACAAGGTTTTAACAATTTGAGAAAGAGCGCTTTTTTATTTTGGGTAATTGATGGCAAAGACGAGAGAGGGATGTGGGGAGATGATGGAGAAGATGAAAGACGATAGAGGCTGGTAGTGTCTGGGGGGAGAAAAATATTATTTTTGGTGAAGCTTTTTGGGTTAAAGTCACGTGTGTTAAAAAATTTAAAGGGTTAGTGAAGAATTAATATTAATATAGGAACATATTTTGCAGATTTAGATTTTTAATAGGCGTCAAACTACAAGGTAATAAGTGTATTATTCAACAATGTCAAATGCCTCTAAGATGAAAAAAAAGAAATTGGGACTTCATCAGTTTTGTTTTAAAGATGATTTCCTACTTCATATAAATGAAGAAAAAGAGAAGCCAAAAAAGCTCAAATTTCTAAACTTGATCCAAAATAGACGGGCATCTCAAAAAATATGAAGGATGGGCGGTGAGCACAGTGTATAGGAAAGAATTAAATGGATACACCGGGATTCACAAATTTTTAGTGGCAGCAAACGTAGTTGACTGATTGATACACTACTGTATAAAATTAAGTACTAAAATCAGTGGCATTCTCTATTTTCTTGTATATAATAAATATGAATCCAGACAAGACCGACGTGGATCAACATGTGAAATTACCAAAAGCAAAGTGTTCATTTTCTCTTGGGTGCAATGTCACCATAAAAACTTACCTAACAATATTTACATTTTACACTATATCGCTTAATTCTGATTAATAATATTTTCACGCTAATTTTTTACTATTAAAGTTAAATTGTATAGATTTTTACTATTAAATTATATTTTCACGTACAAGTACGTATTTGCTGAAACGCAATCACAAGGAACGCAAAAGAAAAGAGTAAAACCAAGTGTGTTTATAATGTACTTTACATTTATAGTTTTACACTATAAAGGTAGCGTGCCTACGTCTATATGTGATGAGAACAAGAATGCTTTGAGTTCGTCATTATATATTAAGCCTCTTTTACTTGAAAGATCAAGAGAGATAGTTAAGACATTTGAATTGCTTGAAAATTACCTGGCACAAAGCTGAAGCTTGTACAAGATTCTGATATTTTGTTGTACGAAAGGAATACACGGATGCTATTAATTTGGAGTTTCTGAATAAATAGAGAAGAAACCACCAACTGGGTAGTGAGAAATATATTTATAAGAGAGACTCAAAGAAAGCTTATTTATGAGTAATCAATTGGAAGAAAGGAAGATTTGATGCTGAGGAAAGTGAGGACGCTATTGCTCTCTAAGTCCAGACAAATTAAAGTGCATACATACAAAATGTGTTGCGAATTACCCAGAATACTCTTGATTAGTTCCTTTCTTTATTCCAATATTTAAGGTCAAAGTTGTCAATTTATAAACTTGGTTTTATTTCATGTCATGTGTATAGACAAACCTGGAATTATGTAAGTATATATCTTTAAGCCAAGAGGAAAGAGGCAAGTTTGGTTTAGATTTTCTTTTGGCCCAACAAGATGTTAAAAGACACGGCTTAGGGAGCAGTGGAGTTCATTTCCTCCGATTTCCTTTAAAATTTAACAGCTTCGTGCAAATAATAATAAGAAGATGGCACTGTTATTATTCCATTAGCTAACTTTTTTGTGGCAGATTAGGAGCTGGCTATAGGTGTGGATAAAAGTTAGCGATGTTTACTAAAAACTGTAGTTGGGGCTAACCTTAATTAAGAGACAAGTTGGCCTAAACACCCTGAGTTGATCTAAAGAGAGTAAATTAAAACTTTCGGGACCATATTCGGATAATTGGGAATGTTTTATATCTTGAATTGTCCACTCGAAACGTCTCATAATAATTTTCTTTTTATATTAAAATTTAGAGACTGATTATATATTTTGTTAATTGCATGTGCGTGGGCAATATTCTCATGTTAGAGTTTAAGTTGTGCCCACTAATAGTGTATAAATTTTTTCTATCATCAGGTAAAATCAATCTACGTAATAGATAATTTCCTATATCGGCATAATACGATAACTTTGAAAAATAGAGTTAAACCTATTTAACCAATTAAATTGACTGGGTATAAAACTTATTTAGAGGGTATTTGACTAAGCTTTAAGCCGGTCAAATCTGCTTAAGAGTATTTTTTGGTTTATTTATGTGTTTGGTAAACACGCAAAGTGATTATAAGCGGGGGCGACCCTTTCATAAAGCAGACCCCATATTTATGTGGGGCCCATTTTTTGTTACACTTAGTATACTATGTATAAGTTTAAAAAAAGGTTCTGTGAAATGAAAAAGATTGATCTTTTCTTTAAAATTAAAAAGTATAGAGAAGAAAGATTTGCAATTGCTTTGATTTCTGCCAAGAAAATTGCACTTGAAATGAATATCGAACCCGAATTTCATAAAAAAATATAAGATATATAGGAAGTAACAATTTGATAAGAATGTTGATAATAAAATATCAAAATCTTTCGAAGAATCCTTTGGAGTTGATTACTTTATATATAGTAGACAAGGCTATTTTTTTTACTTCAAAATAGATTTGAATAATTTGAAGCATGTAAAAATATTTTTGGTTTTCTATTTAGCGGTAAAACTTAAGATCACTGGATGATGAAAATTTAAAAAATATTGTCGTAATCTTGAATGTTCCTTAAAGCATAATAATCAATGGTTTAAATTTATTTTCGAAATTATTTAATTAAAACACTCAGTCAAATAAACAGATTTGATTCTTTTTCCAATGCCTATATTACTTATGGAATAATGTTAATAACTCTTGTTTCCGTCGCTTAAGCGAAAAGAAATTTTCAAAATTTAAATTGATAAAATCTCACCTAAGACCAACAATCTCTCAAGAAAGGTTAAATAGATTAGTTATATTGTCAATGAAGAAAGACTTATTTGGAGTTATTGATTATAAGAAAATTATTAATAATTTTGCATCTAAGAAATGCTAGAAAAATAGACTTCAAATAAATAAATAATTTTTTTCTTTAAAAAAAAAGTTAAGACACATCGTAAAGTTTGGCTTTGGGCCACAAAACTTGTTGGGCCGCACTTGATTATGAGCCAAGTGCTTATAAGCGAAATAGTTATAGCAGTTTGAAATATCTAATATAATCTAATTAGCGTAATAATATGTTCCGAGTAGCAAAGAAATTAGTAGAAAATAAGACAATATAATTATATTGGCGTGACAAAGAAATTAAGTTTTGCCAGTACTGAGTAGTTGTGATAGAATGATCAACCATTAGCCTCCCTCTGATAAGGCAATTTATTTTAAAATGAAATTCGTGACTTGATGCTCATGGTTGACCAGAAGAAGAAGTTGAAGAGTAGTGTACATGTCCAGCTTCAAGAGCAGAAGGTGTAATTTCCGAAGTTTTATTAGTATGCAACTTATGTGATTCTTCTAACTCTTTCTTTGTCCTTATAATATCATCTTTTTCATGGAAATCTTCTTCTACAGAGAGTACCACAGTCTTAGGTTTTCCATGAGGGCCTTGAACAATTGCTTCCTTAATTCTCAAATGCTCATCAATATGCTTCACTTCTTTTTCTTCAACTACTGTTGTCTTCTTCTTTTTCTTCAAGTAGCAGCAGAAAGAAAGTATTGCTAGGCCAAGTAAAATGCAACCGAACGTCGAGAAAACAAATATTATTATGATATAACTGTGAGGGGGTGATGGTGGTGGTGGAACAAATGGTGGAGGATGAGGACGAGGCGGAGGAGGAGGAGGAGGGTGGGGTTTTGGTGGTGGAGAGATGGGATGAGGAGGAGGGAAATGTGAAAATGGGAAGTTATTCACATTGTTAGCCATAGTTATAATCTTGGGAAGTTAATATGAAGCCTTTTGATGTTGTGATGAAGAGAAGTACTATAACTCTGCTTATTTATGAGGGTGGAATTTTAAGTTTTTCTTTTTTCTTTCTCTATCTGTCTCTCTCTTGGTCTTTTTTTTTTTCTCTTTTTAATTTAGGTAATGCTTCCAAGTAAGAAGAGACTTGGCTCTCATGTGAAGATTTATGAAGACTTAATATTTATGTTTTGATTGAAGTAGAAAACACTTTTTCTTTAGCTGTTAAGTGATCTAGTGTCCTACACCACAAGACGGGGACATTGACAAGAAAGGTTTAGAGAGCTTCTATTCTATAGGGTAGAGTTGCACCATACTCTTTTAGCCCCAAAGCAAAAATACAGAGAAAAACAATTTTACATATTCTATTCTATAGGGTAGAGTTGTGCCAGATTCTTGTAGCCCCGTAGAAAAATGACAGAAAGACATCATTGTACCGTTAAAACCGATTCTCAATCATAATGACCGGTCGAGACAATGACGTTTCAATTGAAGAACATTCACATGACAAGCTCGGACGAATTCCGAAGTAGGGACATCGAGCTTCGCGCTATAAACGGCAAAACTCGATATCATTATCGAGCCCGTGTTCGAATCGAACTACGGGGCAACACCGATCGATACGGGCCCCGAATATCGATGCCCCAAGGCAGAACCGAGCTCGAACCAAGACTGGGGGTTCGACCTAACACCGAGCTCGAGCCAGTGCCAAGCTCGCAGACAAGAACCGTTACAACCGCACCGAGGGAAAGAATCTTGGCGAGAATCAAGGAAGAGACAAACCATCATGGGTCCTCTACTATATGTATTATTTTATTATGTTGTT